CCTCTTTCCCCTCCACATTATAGACTTTAGCCACTAATAACAACAGGCACCTGTTTTATTTTTCGGAGCTTCTTAGCAACGAAAAAAAAAGTGTTGAGCAGCACATTAACGATAAGACTTCGACTATTTTAGAATATGTAAAAGTCTTTCTCGAAATTTGAGTAACTGGAAAATATTTGCAAATATTCGAAATATGAGTTTTGGATTTTTACACAAACCAAAGTTTATATTTAAAATGTCAAAAATGAAATATAGTGATGCACTGATTTGCCATTGTCATCATGTAATTAGCATAATACAACATGAATTGGTCCAGTTATAACTTGGGAAAATAATCCAAATCAGTGTTTGTGAGCTTATCGATATAAATATATATCTAATAATATATTGAGACCTACTGTAAATATAATGGACGTATATATGACAGAGTTATTTGTCAGTTAAATCAACGGCTAGAGCTATAATAATAATAATGTCAAATTAAAAATACGAAAAGGAACAATACCTAACGAACAACAATCAGACAAACAAAAAAGAGAGCTTCAGTAAATAATAGAAAAAAAAATCTGTTCGAAATGCAGAAATAAATAAGCTGGATCGCTTTTCTGGCGATCGATTATCTTGAAGAGCAACTGTAGTCTGTGAGAGATTTTTCACGTAACGTATTTTGTATTAGTATAATGAAATTAAAGAACACATGTAAGTTCCATATTTCAGCACTGAAGAAGCTGCACTAACAAGCTTTTTCGTACTGATCGAATATCTAGCACACCATTTTTGGATGTAAATTATCTTCTACAGTAGAACAACTTGATTTTTTATTATCAGGGAAGTCAAGGTAGTCTTTAGACTGATATTTATTGACTATAGAAAATAATATAATTTCAAAGACCTCCTAGACCTTTATTTCAGTGGAAAATTGAGTGACATATTCTTTTTAACTTCAGATTGAAAGTAAATAGTACACTGTCTGCTACCTGTGCTCATCGGCTACTAATAACATGTATTGTATTTTGTCCTTGATTATATTGTATTTTCTATCTTTTCGTTTTTCTTGTTCGAGCAAGTAAAATAAACGAAAGAAAAAAGAGAAAACAGTTAGTTATACAACCGAAAAACATCACTGACTAATATCTTTGGAATGCAACAACAACATTTTTGCTTAGAAATGAGCCCGTTATTATTGCTACACATGTATCAGATATTGTTTATTTTATGATATTATTATATGATGTAGAATGAAGAAAAAAAAAGGATTCATAGGATTAATATTCAAAACATAATAGTATTATGAGCCATGTGGTTCGTTTTAAATGAATCATTTTTAGTTATTGTAAATATCGTTCTATTCAATATTGATAAAAGTACATTATATAATGATTTTTAAATGCATATATACTCATTCCAAAGGACATAATTTCCACGATTGATGACTAAGAAACATTCGATACAAAATTATAAAAAAGCACAGAACGAAAAAGAAAGTCATGAAAAAAACATACGTATATATATCGCCATAATTATAACTGATAGAGCATAAATCATGTATAAACAATATAGGCAAGCGTATACAGAATACCTTGTTCTTTTTCTCGGTACACAGAAGAGGATATTTTCTACATTGGTCGATTTTTTTGTAGCTGTGCGTGACCTAAGTTTTGATCTTTTACAAAGGTAAGTTCATGATTTTATAAGTGTTTGCATGCTAGAATTTTTTTAAAATGTAAAAGTCAGAAACAAAGATCTTATTCGATAGAAAACAAAAACTTAAGAGAAAAACGTACTTGTGATTAATGACATTCGATCGATGGATAAATCTGTTTTTTTTTTAATCGTTTTCTAAAAGGAAAAATCCTTGTCATTATTTTTCATTCGTACCGTTTTTGTTATGACATATAATAGTAAGGCCGTTTTGAATGAATAATAAATGTTTTGTTTTTGTAAGAGGAGTATTGAATTACTAGAGAAAGAGTAGAGCTGATCGAGTCTGAAGCAAGACTTAAACTCAAAAATTGAGTAACATTGACTTGAGTCAATGATTCAAACAAGTAAATGTTTACAAGTCAACACCAACATTGTTTTGAAAAGATATATATAGTTTTCTGTAGCACAGAACTATAACTAGTGATCTTGCTTTCAAAAAGTAAATTCATATTAGTCTCTTAATAAGCTTATTAGAAAAATTAGGTCTTTTCCTCCTACATCAACACCACCGAAGCTTATGTTTTCTCATGACGGTCTTTTAATGAGATTGCATCATTGAAGATTTTCACATGCTCATATTTCTATTTTAAAATCTATAAAGTGTAATAAGATATTAATTTAAATGTTAATAGATAATGTTTGCTTGTAAAACAGCTAGAGCTGGAAAGATACCATTATCAGTTACCGAGTAATAAAGTGACGGAAAATCGGTGGATTTGATTCTTTCGTTAGGAAATAACTATTTGGTGAAAATCACGATTTCTTATAAAGTTCAGTGAAAGGTTTTTTGGAGTCAAAAAGTCAAAAGCCTTTGATCAAATTACAAAAACAACCATGATACTTTTTTCAAATAGCTATTTTCTGACGAAAGAAGCAAATTCACGAATTTTCCGTTACCAATTACTTGATAACTGGTAATTCTTCTCCCCTATAAATGGTTTTAAGCCTAGATTTTTGTTTCTAACGATGATACCTTTTTTACTGTGATTTGAAACTGCATAAAAAACGGGTTGAATTTATTGTTGTTGAATCTGTAGGAATTCTATTAGGAGGTAGGTGTAGCACCATACATCAAACTATACTCTAAGGTGATAAAAAAGTGCTGAGGGATTCAAAAGAGCATTCAGATGCTAAAACGGTACTATGGTATTCATAGAGTTTTGTAACATAAGATAGAAGTTTTGATCATAGATAAGTGAGATTAATAATATTCAAGTACAGATTTTTTTCGATCAAGGAAAAACTGACGTACTATACAAAATTAATGACATAAAATGTCGACTCTTATATTTCTTTATAAATACGGCTCTTGAAACAAATTTTTTTAACGATTCAATTGGAAATTTTCTCGTGTTTCGAACTTTATATGACTTATTTTTATTAGACACTCATAAACAGAATAGAATCTGAAAAAAATAGAGACGCTCTAAAAATAGTTCTGAACTTTTTGTACATTTTACAATAGCGACACAAAATGTCGACTGCTATATCTGTTCTTTCGAGCTGTATATAATGTGTTTTTGTCATGCTTTCATCAACGAAATGACACGAAAGAAAGAAAAAAAAATATCTGTACAAGTTTAATCCTTTCATTAATTTATCGGAGAAATCTTAGAAATCAACTGAAATATGATGTTAAGATGGTAGCAGATATATCAGCAGCTTCTCATCAATTAATGAAAGAGAACAGGAATTTCATTTTTCATTAGAAAAAAATATGAAGAACAAAAAAACCATTATATTTAACAACGAAATATAGTTCTTCATGTAACATGTGACGAACTTCTTGAACAATAACCTGTAATGTAGTTTTACAAAGTTGTTTGACCTTTTGATTCGTTTCTGGAAGCCAGTAAATTTAAATTTTAGCTTTCCAATTATTCTCATAGACTTTTTCTGTCAATAAAGTCCAAATTGTTTCAATTAGTATTTTAGTTGTATTACAGAATTTCTTCAATAAATTAATGAAAAATGATCAAAAATTTCTTTTACGGACATTTGTTCGTTTCTTCGTATTGTTTTGCTTATGAATGCATGACAAAAAAACAAATGATATAAAAGTCCAAAAAAGAGAAAACTTCTTTTCAGAGTCATATCTATGAAGAAATATAGGGATCAACATTTTGTGTCATTACTTTTGCATTGTACGTTATTTAGAGAAAATAACTACTAGTTTTTGTAAAAAGATTACTAAAGTTTTGCAGTGATCGGTGAATTGAAATTTATAGTTAGTTTTGTTGAAATTTTCGAATTTATTTTTATCTGTAGCCGGACACCTATTTCTCACGATTTAGACGAGTTTTACAAAATATGGCTATTATCTTGAAATAGTCCTCTTCTGATTAATAAATAAAACTCGATAATTTCAATCAGAGATGTTCAGAGTAAGGTAACGTTTAGTAAATTTTTCTCAGTCAGAGTACATGGTACGAAAAAAATTTATTCTGCATATCTCCAATTTCAATAAACCGTCTACAAATTCGGATTCTTCGCCCCGTTCAAAATTTAAATAATGTTTTAGAAAAAAATCATTCTTGTCTCGAAATAGTCTTTTCTTTATCGTAAAAACCGAATTGTCGTAGTACTACTCCCAATCGTAGTTATGACTTGAATTTCTATCTTATTTTTCAATTTTATAAACGTCACTATTAAGTTTCAATAGTAAACTATACTGGCAGTTTGAGATCTGTACTTATCCCCTTGAAGTTGTACCATTTTATTTTATGTAGAATTTCTCGTATTCTTTTCGTGTATAAAGATCAGAAGCTAGATATCTTGCTATGAAAAACTAGTTATTAATATTCTTTGTAAAAATAAATAGAAGTTGAAAAAAAAATGATCAAAATAATTTGACTTAGTTCATCTGGCCCTGATAATAATAAAAAACTCATAAGCGTAATCAAAATATGTTTAAGAGATATCGTCTCTATAATTTATGGCTGGAAAGGTAAAAAAATTTGCTCTCTTCTCCTGTGATAGATAAACGAAAGAAAAAAGTTTGCACATTACATTTAGTGGTGTAAGCCGATCGGTTGACCCACTATCGCCACAACACAAAAGTAGATATTTGATTTTTAAAGATTTTCCGACGTCTCAAATCAGTTTTGGAGATGCTACCATATAGTTTCTTGTCAATAAATTCTCTAGCATTCTTTTCTAATTTTTTCATTTGAAAATTTCTCGAAATTCAGAAAATTTTAGCCGCTACCGATCAATGCATCAGTTTGCATTTCTAATTATATTCATATGATTCTTTTAGATCAAGATATACTCATTATTGAGAAATCTATTTTCAGATGAATCTGTTCATTTATCATTTGCTCGTCTTCGTTTTAACCTCAATTAAACCTGGACATAGTAATCCAGGTGGTGCACCAGTGCGTGTATGTGCATCAATGATACCTAATCATGGCAATACTGCTCCTCAACAATGTTCATCGAAATATACAGTAGAATCCGACAAATCAGAATATTATGCAAGTGACACGGTTCATAGTCAGTATAATTAAGAAAAAATTTCTTCATGAAATAATGTTTTTTCAATCATAGTTACTGTTCGTGGTTCAACAAATAATGATCAATTTAAAGGTATTCTATTAATAGCAAAAACGATAACCAGTGAACAAATTATTGGAACTTGGACAACAACAAATGCAAATATTAAAACACTTTCCTGTAATGACATAGCAAATACTGGTATAACTCATAACTCAGCCTCTGATAAATCATCCATAGACGCTGTTTGGTATCCGCCATCAACTGCAACCCAAGAATCTACTGTTATCAAGTAAATGAACTTTATTTATTTCATTTTACATGTATATTAATCAATATTTAGAGCAACAATCGTCCAATCATATAGCGAAATATATGTTGATTGTTTTAGTATTACATTAACTGCTAAAACTGTAAATCTTACTTAATTCTTATTGAAGAAAATCTTTTATTTAAATTTATTTAGGATAATCCAACTACTACTGGAGCAAAGGTAAGTATAATAATACGCTTTTATTTATTTATTTATTAAAATATCCAATCACCATAGCTCAATTTCTTATTGAAACATATATAAAAATCGACATCTTAAAGTCTTTTGAAATGAATGTTCTATTAATGTGCATTTAAAATACTAATAAATCATTTTTATTTTCTATACATGATAGACAACTTCGTCAACTGATACTGTCGTTAGTAATTATACTGGTACTACTTCTAATACTTCTCCTTCTGATACTTCTCCTTCTGATACTTCTCCTTCTAATACTTCTCCTTCTAATACTTCTCCTTCTAATACTTCTCCTTCTAATACTTCTCCTTCTAATACTTCTCCTTCTAATACTTCTCCTTCTAATACTTCTCCTTCTAATACTTCTCCTTCTGATACTTCTCCTTCTAATACTTCTCCTATTACTTCACCAAGCGACGACGCTGGAGTTATTATTAGTTGGACATATGACAATGGTGTCACAGTTGTTAAAATGGAAATTAATAATTTAAAAACGTCACAATGGTTAGCTTTGGGTCTTTCACTTGATGACAAAATGGTATAGCATATAAGCTTATTTATATTTTATAAATACTTATATTTTAATATATAGGGTGAAGATCATGTTTTTGTTTGCAAACGTTTATCTACCGATAAAATTTCAGTTGATCGTCTTGCTAATCCGCGTGGTACTTCACCACCAGTGTTAGCTAGTACAATGTCAAATTTGGGTGGTACATTAACTTCTACTTCACTGAAATTTGATAGTGGTGTGGCTTATTGTGAATTTACTTTATCAAATTTTAGTGGTTCAAAACGACGACGACGACGTGATATTTCTCCGCTATCTCAATCGACGACTTATATTCCACTTATAGCTATAGGAGATTTAGATAGTTCAAGTAAGTTTAGATTTTATTTAATAAGATGCCTTCTATTCATAAATAAATAGATAATATGATTATGCATACATCGCGTATAGCGTTATCAGAAAAAGTTCAACTGAATAAACAAACAACAATTTCTTATAAAGCAGATTCAATCGAGTCGGCACGAACAAGTTTAATGAAAGCGCATGCTGTTATTATGATATTTACATGGCTATTTTATGTTCCACTTGGTATTCTTATGGCGTTGTATTTCAAAAAGACATGGCCAGATAGAAAAGTGTGCGGAAAACCAATCTGGTTTGCTGTTCATCGTGCATTAATGACAGTTTCTGCTGTATTAACCATAATTGCTTTTATGCTTGTTGTTGCTTATAAAAAAGGTAAATGGATACCACAAGAAGAAAAGCTTGAATTTAATCACTCAGTCATCGGCATAATTGTAGTATGTTTTACTCTTATTCAACTAATAATGGCACTATATCGTTGTGAACATGATGAAAAATATCGTTATGTTTTTAATTATACACATGGATTTGTTGGTTTAATGGCATTGATATTCTCAGCTGTAGCAATGTTTCTTGCAATACGTTTTCCAGATTTTAATTTTACAACGAATGCAGAATGGGGAATTTTAGCTGCATGGGTATGTTGGGTATTTCTTATGTTTGTGATATTTTGGTTTATGGGATTTTTTGTTAAAAAAAATGTATCAAAAAAAGCTACTAATGCAAGTTCATATGAATTGGGCAATCAGTATCATAATGGATCAGTGCAAACTCCACCAACAGAAGGGAAAAATAATGGTACACCAGATTGGATTAAAGGAACTTTGATTTCTGTTCATACTTTAGTTACTTTTGCATTAGCATTAGCATTGGCTATTCTCGTTGGAAAAGCATAAATAAAAAACAAGAAAATAAAGGATATTTGAAATAAAAAAAATACACTATTAATATTTGTATGTTCTATTTTCATAGTTATCTCTCTGTTTGGTCAATATTTATTTTAACTTTTTTTAATAAAAATAATAGAACTCATAGTACGAGAAAATTAATTGTCGTTTTTTTTTTGTTAAGAATAAATTACAAGATGTTAATAGAATATATATGTCTGAAAATCGTTTTGATAATGTCAATGATTATTCAATTTATTTTAGGATTCCCAACCAATTAGTTTTTGATCGTTTCTAGTTTTCCAACACCCACCAATACAAGCGATCAATCTGACATTTTTACTACATATAGAGCACTAAAATAAGAAAAAACATGCTCAAGGAAAAAATTTAAAATTGAATTTTTGTGGTCTTTGTGCGAAACCCTGGTTGCTTACGACTCGTCACTAACTTCGTTCACTCAGATTGAAATTTTTACCATTGGCATTTAGAAGTATTCTTCGGAGTTAAAATTGGTCGTTTTCGTTTCTGAAATTCCTATCTGAACTACTAGGATCCTGAAAGTCAAGACTCTGATTTTTGCACTGAATCTTTACGTATGTCTCTCCAAAAAAAGAAAAGTGAGATTTTTGGAAATGCTTAAGCCATCAGTCCTTACAGTGGTTCTAGAAGAACCATTGATAAAATAATTTTATGAACAAAGTATTAGCCTGTCTCATACATTAATGATATAATTTGATTTACTGAGTGTCTATATTTTGATATAGGGCCGTTTGATCAGTCCGATGATCGCGTGGTGGGGAAAAGGCATTGAACGATATATTAGGTCTTGATTTTTTTTCTTTGACGACTTTATTGAGTGAACAAAAGCAACATCAATCTCGTGCTATTGCCGCAATAGAAAATAGGAAGGAAGCAATCGATGAGAATCAATCTCAAAAAAATACATATGTGGTTTTGACACACCTGATTAAGTCAACATCTACTTTGCTTTGAGCCATTTAATAATCACTGAAGACATTTAATTCATAATAAATACTATTTTCAACTTCTCATGAGTTGAGATTTACAATACATATATTAACATTGTTCATGACTGCCATTTAGCTACCTAATAATGGCTGCATGGTCTATTGTAGGCGTTAATACGTATAATTCGTCAAGTTATCATGAAGCTTTTGAAATATATATGTAACTCACTAGGAAACTTCTTCATCGATTTATACCAAACAGAAATTCCAAAAGATCTCTATTGAATGTCGGTAGAGAAGGTTTCATTTCAAAAAGTTCGAATTTTTTTTTCATTTCTTTAAAATGATCAATTTTGTAGACCCAATATTTCAAAGGCGGAGCGATAAAAAAAATATACTTTTTATCGGTCAACAGTCAATAAAATTCTCTACAAAAAATGTTCTGATTGATTTCAAATTCTACTCTTTCTTTATTTTCCACAACCGCTGAACAAATGATCACTCCAGCAACTAACGGAGAGTAAAGACTTAAAATTACCTCTGAGTATAGTCTTAGAAATCTCAAAGTAAAATTTCAGTTCTATCGCATACCATTTGTTAAGGTTCGTTAGCAATCAGAGTGCTGGTCTATGGAAAACCAGGGTATTTTCTATGCTCTATCCTTTGTAAAAAGTGTAACTTGGAGAGTATGTTAAATTTCTTTTTTAGGAAGTTCAAATTTCTGCATCTTATTATCCAATGAATGATATCCAAAAGTCTAGATTAGATATCTATGATGTATAGATAAAATTTCTTTTTTATACACTCAATTAGAAGGATACAACTTATAGTCTAGTGCTAAGTTGAATCAGGAGAATCAGTTTAATATATTTATTTCAAATATATTTTAGAAGTCAAAGAGAAATCAAAACAACTATCTTATCGCGCCAATATCCTGAAGTTACTCAATGAAGGATCTAAGAACAGTTAACAGTAAAAATGTCATATCAACTTGATCTGTTGTGCCGTCTTCGAGAATCAGACAAGGTCAAAAAGATAGGGCAGAACACTCTTAAAGGATATGGTCGTTATAGAAATTTTATTTTCATTATTTTTTATTCTCAAAAAAAATAATTTATTTCAATTGAATAAAAAATATTCATGAAATAGTTTTTGACATAGTTCGATGAATTGAGAGAGACACTTTAAAATAGTTAGTGATAAATGCTGATCGAACCAATAATTGACCCTAAAAATTAAAGAAAAGGCACAATAGAAATAATTATTGAAACTTTTTTTATGACTGAAAATAATAAATAATTGATGAATTGTTAATTTTTAACATGTTTTATAGTATGATAGACGTGAGTTTTTAAATAACAGTCATTGTTTGACTTTTACCGGAACGTAAGATATTAATTTTCTATTGTTCTGATCAACTTGACTGTATAATTATTGTGCGTGACATATCGATATTAGTTTGCCATTTTTATGCTGTCAAGGGTCAATTGACACACTTATTTTGATTAAATATTATAGTCATGTTCAACATTATAGAAAATTTAATCTTTCAGGATAATTATAGATCATTTGTTTGTGTGCTATGCAATATGAATGTTTAATTGATTTGTCTGGATGGTTCAATATGAGTTATCAAGATATTTATTTTGAATAGAGACCTGCATTGGAACAATTTTTAAGAGCGATTGGAGCTCTCAACATTGTCCACCAGCAGATTAGGTCGGACACTACAGATTTTTTTTAATGGTAAGTTTTATTACTTAATATTTATTATATAAACTGATGTGTTTTTGAGACTCAATATACGTCTTCTCAGAACTTTATGAAACTAAGAAAAAGTCAGAGTCAATGTTGACTCGGACTTCTTCCCATAGGCGTAGACTTCGAAGACACACGACTCGAATTTCGAAACTGTATCAGTTTGTATAGAGAATACGAACGAATAAAACTTTCAATTCAACAAATCTTTTGTGCTAAATCTGATTTATTAGTGAAAATTTTAATTGACTCTAACACGACTTCAACGCAGGTTTCTAATTTTGAATTATAGAAATATTGTTTCTGATATCTACTTGAGATTCAGACAGGTTTACATTTCATAGGTTTAATCTTGCTCTGATAGGCTATGAGCCTCCTCAGCCAAATTGTGCTTGTTCGTCAATCTGGCCTCATAAGAATCATGTATACTGAAGTGAATTATGTGTATCGAATCCTGACATATTACGGTCATATACATATGAATTAGAGAAAAAAGAAGAATAAACCAATGACTCATGTAAGATAATGCAAATAATCAATCGAAAAGTGTGTCCGTCAATTTAGCGAACACGGATCGACAAACTAAATAAATAAATTGAAATTGAACAATGTAATGACAATACATAATTAGTTATGTTTATATCCAATCAATATGACAAAAAATAATTTTTCATCTTTTAGTAGTCGAGATAAATTATTGTACATGTTAATATCTATACTTTCAGATCAAAATCGAGGTCTTTTGTGTATCGAAATTTAGAAAGTATATCATTGAGAAGCGATTTGTCCATTTAAAAAGGCCTGTCTGACCTATAACCAGCTCGAAAAATTGGGATCTAGTGCCTATCTTAGCAGACAAATGGACTTGATAGTCTGTTGATTCCTTTGATATCTATTATTCAAATAAGTCTTAACCAGTTGGCAATGATGAAAGAAATAGACGAGTTGAATAGCTTCATCAAGTCGATGAAACTATTCTTTCCGTAACTAAAATCAATCAATCACATGTAGAAATGGAAATTAGTCAATTGAAACCATTAGTCAATATTTGGATTTTAACTAAAGCATTCTTTTATTTGTTCTATTCTGACTCTCTTTTTTTAAATAAGAATGACGTTTTCATTTAGCTATATTTCTCTTAAGAAAAATCTGTTCAAGTTCACATTAGTCTATATTTTGTATCTAGTTACTACCAACTGTTTAATGTTGCTGAGCAACATTTCTCTTTTTTTTTGGCTTTTCTCTCTCTCTCCCTCCCTCCCTGTTATATTTATTGTTTTAACAATTTTAGTATTGTTGTTATTGTTGTTTGACAGAAATGAGAAAGGGATGATTTTTTTCTCTTTTAGACGAGCCGTGCACAAAATCTTTGCTAGCGCACATGAACTGACGTCGCTTGAAAGGCAAGCAAAAAAAAATAGGAGAAGAACAAAATGAAACTGTGTCTCTTGCATTGCTTAGTTACAAAAAAATGCGGCAAGTAGAACAGATGAAAGTAGAAAATGGTGGAGGGCGATGCCGAGTAACCACATATAGACAAAAAAGGATACTTTCGTTGAATAGCAACGAGTTTCAGTACCCACAACATTACTTTCAGCAGTAGCAGTAGTGATGACTTTCTGTACAAGCTTTAACATAGTTGTATTATATTATCATTTGAAATATAGATGTTTTTTTTTGTTTTCAGATAGGAAATTACTTTGTTGAACGACATTATCCATGGCTACACAGGCAAACCAGGGGTATAATGGTCATAGTTCGTTTCTTGATAAATATCGTACCAATTTGAATGGACGAGGCGGGTAAGATTTCATGTTAAAATTTCAAGCAGAAACAAGAGAATCATTTTAAGATTGATCTTGGAAAACTTCAGCACTAGGTCAGAGTATTCTGTAAATGTTTTACTACTTATCAAAGGAAGTATATGCAAATAACACATATAAAAACATTATTCGAGTTATTTATCAATTAAAAAGCTAAAAGATCAAATTACTATTGAAAATTATTGATAAAAAAAGTAAGACTGATGATCTCTTTCATTTGCATCATGCCATAATAGCACATGATGAACATATATTCTTCATATGATTAAAAAAGCTCATAAATTCCTAGTCTATTTTTATAATAACTTGTTTTGTTTTTTTTTTTTTACTTTTTTTTTAGTACATCTANAGATCAGAAAAAATGATTTTTTCGCATCGTCGAAAATTGGTCGTACACAATTTTGCTTTTTTTGAAAACAAAAAGTACAAAATTAAAATAAGCTTTACTTTGCACATT